GAAAACAATCCTCAAAGCCAAAAACCATAATTAAAGGCCAACGTGAAAGGTTTCACTCAAATCTTGGGGCCACATATGGCCCCAAGAATCTCTTATTAACCTTATAGCACGTGGCTTTCTCCACAGAAGCACCAAATCCCTGTTTTTCCCTTCCCCTCCTGCCCAGCTCATGTTTAAGCAGCCAAAAAGCAAAGGAAAAGCAGCAGATGCAGCCAGGGGATGCTCCAGCACCTGGAAGCTCAGAGTTTGGTGCAGCAGGGAGGGGGTTGCTCAGGGCAGAGGTTTTTTCCCTCCAGTAAAACAAACCTTCCTGGACACTCAGGGAAATCAGTGAAATGTATTCAGGTGGTATCAGCCTCCCAGCAGACGTACACACTCAAGATCAACTCCCACAGGCGACCCGAGTTAAAAAAGACGCCTGGTCTCGAGTTCAGGGTTTCCACACGCAGGTGGGATTCAAGGTCAGAAGAAACACTCAGCTTCTGACCTTCAGAAAAAGAAGTTCATCCAATAAAAGTTGCCAAGATCCCCGAATCTCCAGGACAAGCAACCACGTTGGGTCTCTTCCAACCAAGACACATGTGGAAAAAACCACTTTGCACGTGCAGCTTATTTCTTATCAGCACAGCGAGCCTCAAAGTTCTTTAAATATTTGCAAATCAGGCAATAATGGCACAGAAAAGCTTACAGATTCCTACTGATAAACAAATACACAAACCATCACTCATTAAGATGAGGGCAGTTCAACTGTAAGCTCACCCAGAAGTTTACAACCAACAGCACACACCCTTTTTAGAGCTATTTAAAGCACCATCACCTCAACCACGCTGCACAACCCAACGCCAGGTCACCAGTAATGCACAGACTGACCAAAACTGGTCCCAGCAAGAGCCAGCAGCGCTCGCCACGCCCAGCGGGGCAGCTGCGTTGTCCTCTGCCACGCGCGCTCCACACGGCAGGCGGGATCCCGAGCAGCCCGGCCGAGGGGACCACACACTTCCACTGAGTAACTCTCGGCTTTGGAAAATTCAAGATTAAACGCTGCTCTACCTGTAGTTCCTCGAGCAATATTATACAAGACAGAGCAAGGGGAGGCAGCCGCCCCGTGGCGCAGACAGAAAGCCTCTGGATTCAAGCTTTCGTGGCAGCACTCGCCAGCTAACGCTGTGCAAGCTCCCAGTTCACTCCCTGAACAAAACTTTCTTCTGATTTTTGACGGATTAGAGGTGGCCACGCACATCAGGCAACCTGAAACAGATCAACGTGGAGGATCTCGTCTCGTTTAAACATTCCGGGCTGGCAGCGGAATAAAAGCAAGGATCGCCTTCTGCCAGGCTACGACAGACAAACTCAGCCTTGCTTGAAAAACCAGATTCCTGGGGGCAATCAAAGCCCCGGTGGTTTTAATACCCGGGATTTTCGTTCTGGTTTAAGACTTACATCTAGAGAGATCTTCCTCCTAGAACTACAGGACTATTTGCTTTTTTCCTATTTACTGATGGAAACTAATCGCAGCCACGAATCCACTTTATGTGTGGATTTGAAGACTGGGCTAAAGTATTTTAAACCAAGCCCTTTGAAGCCGAGAAAACTCACTAACAACTCGGTGTTATCCAGCAGGGATTCTTTCCTGCGGCGCTGGGCAGCACGGGGGATGGCTCCTTCCATCCCTGCGCGCCCAAGCATCGGGATTCTTGCCTTATACTTACC